TCACTCCCACGTCTTCACCTTCGGGGGCAACACGCTGCGGGGCACCTCCATCTTCGGTGGGTTTCAGGGAGGGGTGGCGAGCATCCCTCTTCCCACCCCCACTTCTTGCTCTCACCAGAAGCTGAGCTGGGTGAGACAGGGAGCTGGGGAGAGGTACCCAGCTGGGGCAGGAGGTGACAATGTCTTTCCCTGTGCCAGGGCTGGCCCCTAAGAAAGCCAAGGACAAACGAGCCTACACCAGCATCCTCTATGGCAATGGTCCGGGCTACAGCATCCGTGACGGGGGCCGCCCGGCCGCCAGCCTCCCTGCTGTGGGTAGGAGCCTGCTGGGGACGGGGTGGGGGCACAGGCTGGCTGTTGATCCCGGTGCCACCGTGTGGCTCAGGAGTCACTTGGGCAGGAATTGCCCCGACAGGGGGTGATGGGAGCTGCCCCCCAAACCATGTGACAGGTAAGGGAGCCTGCCCCCCACCAGCCTCATTTCTCTTCCCCTCCCTGCAGAGGACAAGGACTACAAGCAGCAGTCAGCTGTGCCCCTGGAGACAGAGACCCACAGCGGGGAGGATGTGGTGGTGCTGGCCCAGGGCCCCATGGCCCACCTCTTCCATGGGGTGCAGGAGCAACACTATATTGCTCACGCCATGGCCTACGCCGCCTGCCTCGAGCCCTATGCCACCGAGCCCGGGTGCAGAGCAGCCCGCAGGGCCTCCCGTGGCACCCAGTGCTCCACACAGCCCCTGCTGACCCTCCTGGCCCTCTGCATGGCTGCCCGTGTGGTGGGGGACTGAGACCCTGGCAGAGCCCCACTGTGACCCAGCCGCCCCATTGAGGATCTTGGCAACCGGGTCCCCACTGTGGCCAGGATCAAGGGATGCAATAAAACAGAGGTTGTGTGTGTCCATCTGCCACGTGAGGGTTTGTGTCAGCGGTCGCCTCCTAAGATGTTGCGCAGTGTCTTAGTTGCCACAGGTGGTCATGGCTTAGTTTCTACCCCAGGACCAGCAATGGAGGCACTGGGGTGAAGGAGGTGGTGGAACAAGAGTGAGGGGAGGCCATGTGTCCCCCCAGCTTTCCCAGGCTGGGACACTGCACAAGGGTTGGTACCTTCCTGGAAAGGGCTGAGCAAGGAGCAGTTTTAGTCCACATCTGTGGCTTTACTGCTCAAGACAGCACTGGGCAGAGAGCAAGGCTGCTCAGTGCACACACGGTCCAGATGCTCCTGATACCCCTGTTGCCCCAGGTCCAATGCTCAGCACTGCCTGTGGCACCCTGGGCCAGTGCAACCCCCACCTGGCACCACAGCACGGTAGCCAGGGCAGGCAATGGTGCCTGCCAGGCACTGCTCATCTTCTTGTCCCTGTTCGCAGCCAAGGTCCGTCCATCCCCCAGCAGCAATAAGATGGTGTGCCAAGGAGGTGCGGGCAGCCCAGCCCCATGGCCTTTGTGCCGGCTGCTCAGCAGGACACCGGGCTATCGGAGGTGTGACGAACCCCTCCATGTGCCCTGCGAGGGCTGGTCCTGGTCCAAAGTCCCTCCCCAGCTCGGCTGGAGCTGCAGACGCTCCCTGCAGTGTTGGGCTACCGGCTCTCACCATGCAGCTCCTGGCATCTCTCACCCTCTGCCTAGGCCTCTGGGCAGGGCTCAGCACTGCTGCCATCCCAGGTGAGGACAAGGATGGGTATGGGTGCCCAGCTGGCTGCAGCGGGTGCCCGGGGAAGTGGGCACCCGGCAGGGCACAGTCTAGCTGGCCACAGGGAGTGTTTGGGGAAGGGAGCAGAGGCTGCCCAGTTCTGCAGGGGTTAATGGGAGCTACCCCTGCTTTTCTGGGGTCCTTGAGCCGGTTTTTCCCTGTGGAGTCAGGTTCCTGCTTGTTTCTGGGCTGAGGGGGTCTGGGGGAAATACCTGTACCCTCCACAGCTCCCTGCCATGGATTTGGCCCAGTCCCACCTGCCAGGTAATTCCCCATCATGTCCCTTTCTGCTGTCCACCCCCCCAGCCCCAGGACCCCTAGACAGGGTAGTGGGTGCAAACTGACAGGATCTTCCACCACCCCAAACATCACCCTGACCCCCTTGGTCCATGTCAGAGGAGGCATCAGCATGGAGATGCCCAGGGAGCAAGTACCCCTGGAATGTGGGTGCCCCAGGGATGTGGGTGCTGCTGAGCTGGGAATGAAGGGTGCTGCCCTGTTCCAGCAGAGGAAGAGGATCCGTCCTTCTGGAACAAGCAGGCAGCTGCAGCCATCAAGGCTTCCTTGAATATTCAGCCCAGGATAAGACAAGCCAAAAACCTCATCCTCTTCCTAGGGGATGGTGAGTCCTGCTGGCACCTCCCGCTGACAGGCTGGCACAGCCAG